TAAACACATAACAGGCATACAAGGCATCCTCCTAGATCCTTAGCCCTAGTCTAGCATGCAGTTCTCATAATCATATCAGATGTCATAACATAAAAATTATGGGTATCTTGGGGAAAACTTACTTGAGCTCGGCCGGTCGCACGCATCACACACCTCGTTCTTTCTCAAAACTCTTTAATTTAGATTAAAAATAACTATTTCCTTGTAAAAATCCTTCAAGCCCTCGGTTTGAGTTCAGACACCCCCGAGGGTGTGTCCGAATCCCTCAAACCAAGGCTCTGATACCAACTTGTAACATCCCAATTTTCAAGGCCAAAAAAAAATTCATTTTTAAATTAAGTATCTCATGAAATAGTGTACCAAACATTGTCAAGGTTACATCAACTTATAAAAAACATAACGTTGTGTTTCAAAATCACAATATCAAGAGTTATGAAAATCAGAATACAATCCCAGAAACTCCATGCGGAAATCACGTGTATGTGTGATGCGCTGCTACACCGCCGGCTCCTTCCCCTTGGACGAAGAGGTACCTGAAACCAAAACTGAAACTGTAAGCACAAAGCTTAGTGAGTTCCCCCATCATACCACATACCAAAACCACATACATATTGTCGGGCAATTCTAGGGTGCCCGACATACCCATGTCAAGCCATTCTGGGGTGCTGACCTACCCATGTCAAGCCATTCTGGGGTGCTGACCTACCGATGTCAGGCTATTCTGGGGTGCCGACCTACCCTCCGGTCTATCTCAACCGAATACGAGGACTATTTCACCCCCTACCGCTAGCATATAATATCATATCATAATCATGATGTCAGACATATCTGGGGTGTCCGACCTACCCATTGGTCCTAGCGACCGAATCGGGGACTAGTCCCCTCCCACTGACACTATCTCACATAACATAGCATACTAGCATATATATATCAAGCACAAGCAACCCAGATGAATATCACAAAGACAATCATTACAACTAAACAATTACCAGTGGGCCGACCTTGGTGCCTTAGACCCACTTCTACTGGAAGGTAACTCACCTCGATGACGTGTAGTGTCTGAAATGTCCTCGCCGTGAAAGTTGACTCCCCTCGACTCCTCAATCCCTACACGGTAACCCTTCTAAGTTATCAATTCGAACATGTAACCCAAACTAGGGTCAACTCAATTCAGTCAAAGTCAACATTGGTCAAAGTCAACATCCAGTTGACCTGACTCGCCGAGTTGGTCTACCAACTCGTCGAGTCCATACTCCTCTAACTCGAACCAACCTCCGACTCTACTCGTCGAGTCTATCAAGAACTCGACGGGTTCTCCTTCAATCATACCATCAGGACCATCTTCATCCGACTCGCCGAGTTCATCCTTGAACTCGTCGACTTCATCTCCCTCATAAGAATGTGTCCATTCTATGACTCGCCGAGTTGTATGAACAACTCGTCGAGTCCATCTTCAAAGATTAGGAGATTGCCTTGGACTCGTCGAGTTTGCTCAACCACTCGTCGAGTCCCATGATTCCCAGGTCCTTTATGAGCCTAAACAACTGAGGGACTTTCCACCCTATCATCTGATCCTTCCACAGAAAGGATTTGGTGGTCATTACACCTTGACTCGCCGAGTCCGAAGAATGACTCGCCGAGTCCATCCTTGACCATTACTATACAGTCGATTTAAATGGGTCTTAACACATCAAAACCATAGATCTGGCCTCCTAATGTCCATTTTCACGTAAAGTTCCAAACTTGATGCACATGCATGGGGTCCTTGGCTCAAAAAGCCATAAAAGGTGGTCTACATGGTGCATGGGGTGTCTATGGCAACAAGGTGGGCACCTTTATGCCATAAAAACCCTCAATAGCCCTAGCTTCAGGAGCACAAACTCATTCCTTACACTAAATCCCGAATACATCCTCACTAGGGCTTAGAAAATGGGGGAAAATGGACAAAAATCAAGATCTACACAAAGAATAGATAAAGTTCAGCTTTATACCGCCAATAAGCTGGAAATGTGTCCAAAGCTCTGGATCTTCCTGATTCCCCCTTGATCTCACAAGCCTCCTCCTTCTTTTCAAGCTTCAAACACCCAAAGTAACACCTCAAGGCTCAAAAACACACTAATAATGGCTAGGGTTTCGAGATAATGCTTCTGGAAGTAATAGGGACGATGGAGGCTGAGATAAGTTGTTTAAATAGGGTGCAAACCCTCAAATTTAGGGTTTCACTCAAACAGAACCTACTCGCCGAGTCGGTCTCCCGACTCGTCGAGTAGGCCACTTAAACTTCCCGCGAATCATGACTCTACTCGACGAGTTGGGCCACCAACTCGTCGAGTCCTAGAGGAAATACACGAAATTCTTGAATTTAAATACGTACCAGGAATCGGGTGCTACACAAAGTGTTATTATAATATCTTTTAACTACTCGCGATGCGGGGAATCTGGTTTGAAGGGACGCATATGGTTGTTGGATATCAGAAGTGCTATAATGCCAAAATGGACCCGCCCTCCAGTGTTTCATGTCTAGCCCCTGTCTGTACGTAGTGGTTGAAAAGTATTGTTTAACACTTATAAAACAATATCGTTCATAAATAGTCGCAATAAATATTAGACTAAAATCTGGCGGTAATGATACTAGGTTTCGCCGAAGGAAAAATAGAATTGTTAGAAGCGAAGGTCTGTCCGAGTTTGGAATCATCACTTTAACAAGTGAGTGCATAGTTACTTTCATCTTACACATAGATATGAAGTATTTAATATAAATTACATGCTATGTGTGCATATTATCTGTGTTCTTGATATCTATGATGAATGAACAAAATATACATGTTTTATTCGATTTAAACTGTATACGTATTTTATACCTATAATTATAATGGGTAAAGATGGGTAGATGATAGATGAGATGAATGATGAGAGATGAAAGATGTTATAGACGAGGAGAGATGAAAAATGAAAATGAGAAGTGAGAGACGATGAGAAGCCTTGACTCAAGCATTGGCCCAGTCATCTAGCAAAGTATAGATGACAACCACGGACTATTCTAGACAGTCCGGTGGAACACTAGCAAGCTTGCAACCTGTAGGTGTTGTGAACGATGTGTTCACCAGATGTACTCTAAAAACCCTAGCAACTATGGACTTAGTGCCTCATACACGAACATTTGGCAACTATGGACTTAGTGCCTTATAAATGAACGTTAGTAGCTATGGATTTAGTACCCTATAGATGAACATTGGTAGTTATGGAATTAGTACCCTACAGATGAACCTTGGCAGCTATGGACGTAGTGCCTGTTAAATAAACCCTGACAGTGATGGACTTCGTGCCTATTCCTTAGGACAATCCTTATGTTTGAATGAGTGGATGATAGATGATTCTTAGGTGGCCAATAATAATTACTATTAGAATCAAACATTCAATTGAAACAAAATCAAATTCACTAGATATAAGCAAACATCAAATCATATGGTTGAAATCACAACTAAAAAGTCAAGACATGAAGTTGGAGAAACTAGGGTTCTAGCCATACATGACTAAAACAAGATCACAAATCTAGCAAATGAAATTATAGTGCTTACAAAATGAAATCAAATGGTCCCAAGTGTAAATCAACTCCAAAATTCTCCAGAAAATCGCATTTTCTGCTCCAAAAGTTGATAGATCGAAAAATAAAGTCAGTCGCCTCTTTTTAGGAAAGATAAGAAACTGCCACTAAACTCACGTCCACGTGTACATCGCCCGTCTAAATTTACATTGATGTTTACACAGCCTGTGTAAATGAAATAAGTAGACTGCTCAAAATGGTTGGGACATCAAAGTGTGCTCGATTCTATGGGCCGTGTAAACTCATGCCCTACTTTTCCACGGCCGTAGAAGTCCCTGAATGGCTGCATTCTCCAAATTTTCCATATCTTCCTCCCCGATGCTCCGAAAGTCGTGAAATCTTGTATGTGTCTTCTAGTCACCTCCCTAAGCGAGATCCTACTTCTAAGAGTCCGTGAAATGTCACAAAAAATGTGACAGTGAAATAATATCATGGAATATCCCGAAAAACATATAAAATGAATGGGCTTAAGACTAAATTCTCATGATATGAAATAAAAATACAAAATGGCGCCTTATGATCTCTTTATTTCCGGCTGACGAGACTTGCCCTGTTTGTTGCAAGGCATGCTTGGACTCCTTTGGGGAGCATGCAGTTCATTGTAAAGAGCTCGCGGGTTTCAAGTACCGACACGATATGGTTAGGGATGTTCTTTTTTGACATATTTAGGCGCGCTGGGGTTTCTGTCAAGAAAGAGGCACCTGTGAATTTTCTGACTGACCCATTGGAAGGAAGATCAACACTTAGACCAGCTGATGTTTTAGTATTTGGATGGGCTGGAGGAAAACATGCATGTGTGGATCTAACAGGGGTTTCCCCTCTTGTGGGCTTGGGGAGTGGGGTTTTCACTGTGGGGCAAACTGCTTTAAAAGCTGCATCAAGCACAGTGGCAAAACATGAGAAAGCGTGCATGAAAAATCAACACACGTTTATATCATTTGAATTTGATACTTTCGGTTTCCTTGCGCCAGAAGCTGTGGAGCTACTCAATAGAGTCCAACGGGTCATGTATAGTAATTTTATGACTCCAAGATCAATAGATGTTGTTTTTAAAAGAATTAATTTTGTCATCCAAAAAGGGGGATTGCGGCACAGCTTGTTGCTCGTTTACCCGTTACGTCTATATAAAAATTTCTTCTTTATTTAATATATAAATGGTGCATAAAATGCAACTAACAGATGGTTATTTGTATAAGTATTAAAAATTTAGTTATTTTGTTAAAAAAAATCTTTTAGTTGTTTCTATTAAATTTATCTTAAAACCATATATTTTCTAATGGGTGGAGCGTGGAACTTCTTATTTTGACAAGAAATATAGCACCTTCTTGTCAAAGTAGAAGGACCTATACTGTAATATTCACTTGTTTTATACCGTTGCAACCATCCTGTTCTCTTCCCCAAAATAGATACACAGAACTGAGAAATACCAATTGAAAGCTGAAGAAACAAAAATGGGTTCTTCCTTATCATCAACAAACGCATGGATTCTCTCTTTACAAGTTCTGTTGTTAGCTTTCGGCGTCGTATCGGTGGCTATGGCGGTGGAATACATCGTTCCGCTGCTGTTAGACTTCGCCGTCAACGATCTCCCGGCGATGTGGTCCCTTCTCCAGTCGTATCTCAAACCACCGTATCTCTACCTTCTAATCAACGTTATTATTTTCACAATATTCGCCACATCAAGCTTCCACCACCGCATCATGCACGAAAGTCAATCTCAGCCACCGTTGGTTAATCCACCGACGTCGAATCTCCAAGGAGTTCCGATTCAACATAATTTTGGTATGTTGGAGCCCCCAGTGGTGGTTTACGACAGTGCGCCTATGGGTTTTGAAGATCCTCAACCTCCAATTTCAGATCTTGAAACAGCTCCGATGAATGATTTAGAGGTGGCTGGAGTTGAAAATGAGGATGAATTTGTGATTTCAAGGTCCAGCTGGAATCCGCCGCCGCAGATAAGCAGCTATCAACCACCGCCGGTGATTACTCAGTCGGAGAAACCACTCTTTACTTCCCGATTCGCACACCCGAAACAGACAAAAACCAGTTCCGATGGTAATTTTCTCAATTTCTTTACTTCAATTTTTTTTTTAAATTTAATTTCGATAAATTGCAGATTTCCATTTCAAACTTTAGTTATTTAATCAACTAATAATTACGAACAAGCTGTAACATTAATTATCGTCCAGATAATGTTTGGATATTTGAATATTTGAAAAATAAAAGATATTTAGAAATTATTTTTTCAAGTATTAAATATACATAATCGTAACGGCTATATTTTACTTTTGACAAAGTCTTACGACACCGTATTATATAGGTTACAGGGCCCTAAAGGTAGCGAAACCGAAGAAACAGGAGACGTTAGAGAGCACGTGGAAGACGATAACCGATGGCCGTCGCATGCCGCTCACGCGCCACCTCCGGAAATCAGAGACCTTCGAGAACCACCGTCACTCGGATGTGTACCCTCTTGAACCACCGGCAGAGGCGGCGGTGGGGGTGGCAGGGAAGGGAAAGAAGGTGATGAAGAAAGCTGCGACGCTAAGAGACCGTACGAACTACGACAACCAAAACAATCGTCCTCCGTCGCCGGCGTCGGGTGGGAAAGTGAGGAAAGATGGGTCACTGAGTCACGATGAGTTGAACCGGCGAGTGGAAGCGTTTATAAAAAAGTTTAATGACGAGATGAGGCTGCAACGACAAGAGTCGATGAAACAGTACACAGAGATGACTAACCGTGGGACCCATTAAAGTTCTTTTTGCTATAAAATTTATACCTTAAGGAGTGTTTAGTTATTTATTTATTTTAGCCCTGGAGGAATGTATTCGTTACCTTTCCACCCACTGATTAATGTGGGTTTTAATAGGTATAGATGTGCTATGTTCCATGTTTTAAGGAAATGGATAATTTCTTTATCAATCTTATTTAACATAATCATGTTGTTTTGGTCAAAAGTTTTATTTGAAAATTATGTGTTAATAATTTATTGATTAGAAAATATGTCGAGTATGCCAATCTCCAGCTCCTTCCCTTGCCGTTGTTCGACATGAGGTTTAAATCAATTTCCCATTTTCCCTTCTCTATTTTTTTACCCATCTTGATCAGTTAGAACGTCCCATCAGATTTTATAAATATATCCATTGAGTGAAAACAATCAAACCTACTTCTTTATCTAATATAAAAATACTTGCATCAATTTAACATATATAAAAATAAATAAATACATAAACATCTTAAAAAAAATGAAAACATATCGTCTTTTAACTTTTCTATATTTTATAACATTAAAGAGAATTAAAATTGTTTATATAATTTGGTTTTTCAATTTTGGTAATGGCATCTTTAAGTCTTCTACCTGTGTTCAGCCCTCTGTTAAGGGGTTGTCATTTGAATTCATTAACCGTTTAAACCCAATAGTTTTTTTTTGTCAGGAATTCAGTGCACGTTGTTGTAAATGTTGTCCAATCTCTTCTTCGGCCAATCTAGAAATTAAATTCATGATTGATTAAGTTGTCGTTCATTTGTTTTGATTATTTTTATAAAAATTATCGATTTATCGTAATATTAATAAAATTTGATTATTTATAAAAAGTTTATATATAAGAGCTTAGTTTTTATTTTTCGCACAAAGCCGTCATAATCAACGGACTGCACTGTGTCGCACCCTTCTCCCCTGCACAATTGTAACATCATGTTTCGAGAAGTTTCTTATCTTCAGGATTATGGACAATGAATGGATTAAGTAAAGGTCTTGGGTTTCAAGAGAATGGGGTTTAGACCTAATTGGATGAAGACAATGTTGGATAAGTGATTAAAGTCTTGGTTTGTGTCTTGGAGTTAAAGGGTAAAATGGGAAAAAGTGATGTTTCAGACTTCTTTTATGAATTAAGGATTTTAGTTCGATGTGTTTTAAGTCAAAAGTAATTAAATAGGGTTTTGGGGATCGTCAATACATTTCCGTGCATATAAAGATCGTCGAAAACGGAGTTGAAACGAAGAAGTTATGACTGTTTGAAGTTGGAGTGAAATTGGGTGAAACCCCGTTCTCACGATGTGAGAAGTAATTCTCACGACGTGAGAGTGCTCACGAGGTGAGAATATAATTTCGCGACATGAGAACTGTGCAGCCCAAAGCCCACAAAAGTTTTAGGGGTTTCAAGGTATTTAAAGGTAAGGATTCATGTTTTAGGGTATTTTCTTAGCCTCCATCATATCTAGAACCTCTTGGAAGAAACCCTAACCTCCATTTTCAAGATTTAAGACTCCCCTCTCATCTCTCATCCATTTTTTGGAGTTTTTGGTGGTTTTGGAGCAATGTCTTCGTGCACGATTGATCCTTGAAGCTTGGCAATTGAAGATCTCAACTTTCATCTACCTTTTAGACTTTTGTAAGTTATAAAGTTCCAAGATTTATTGCATTTCATCTTTGGATCTAAGTGCATTTGGTGTTTTGGTCCATCTTAATGAGTTTTGAGTGAGAGTTGGGAATAAAGTTTACAACTTTTATTACTTTCTAAGGTCCCAAGAACATTGCATGTTTCAAATCTGGACTCCAACACCTTTTTGATCAGTTTAGAATGTTTTCTTGGACCTCATGGACTAAGAAAATTTTGATCTTTTTCCTTCCCTTTCAACCATGCAAGTTATTTTGGTCATTTAGGCTATTTTGGTGTATTAAAGTTTAGATCTTCAAAGCTTGAGACATTATTATAGATAAAGTTGGAAACTTTATCCATCTAAACATCATATTGATTCAGATCTGAAGGTTGGAGACTTGTACTTAATGGATTTAGCTGAGAAAGATGCATTATTGGCACCTTTGAGACTTAAAGACTAGATCTTGATTGTTTGGACCATCTTAATGGATAAAGTTAGAAACTTTATCCATTATGAAGCTATTTAGGAACCACATCTAAGGTTATAGGCCTTGGTCTGAAGAGATTAAGCACTAAATGAAGATTTTGGCCTTCTAGCCAGAAGTCACGACGCGACATAGAATGTGACACGATGTGACGGTGCCCGGAATCACAATTGTTTTGTCGTTGCATTCTCACGCCATTTAAATAACTATAAAGTCATTTAAGTAACTATAGAGGGTGGTTTTTGAAAATTCAATTACCATAAATAAGAGGCTTTAGGCTCTCATATTTCTTGCACCATTCTCTTGATTCAAGAGTCTTTCTCTACTATCCCCCGAGCATTTTGGTCCCCCGTGATTCGACTTCTCTTTCTGTAGTTTTAGTATAGTAAGGTGAGCGTTGAAGATCTATAAGAATCTTTTTAGAAAGATTCAGTGACGAAGTTCTGCCCCCGCAGATCCCATCTCCTAGCTAAAACCCCCTTGTAAGTGAGTTATTCTTACCCTACTTTAAGTATAACTTATGTTTAAGTTCATTATCGTTATTATGAACCTATAAACAATACATGTGTTAAGTATTATAAATTATACAAAATTTTATTATAATACCTTTTAATTGCTCATGGTACGGGGAATCTGGTTTGAAGGGCCGCATAGGGTTGTTGGATTTTAGAACAGCTTAAATGCCAAAATGGTCCTGCCCTCCGGTGTTTCATGTATGGCCCCTGTCTGTACATAGTAGTTGAAAAGTATTGTTTAACACTTATATAATACAAGAAAAACAATATTTGCTCGTAGACCTTGAGTTATTGATAAATCTAGACTAATAATTAGTCGCACTAAATATTAGACTAAAATCTAGTGATAATGATACGAGGTTTCGTCGAAGGAAAATAAAATTGTTAGAAGCGAAGCGCTCCCCGAGTTTGGAGTCATCACTTTAACAAGTGAGTGCATAGTTACTTTCATCTTACACACATATATGAAGTAATTAATATTAATACATTCTATATGTGTTTATTATTTGTGTTCTTGATATCTATGTTAGATGAACGATTTATATATGTTTTACTTAATTTAAACTGTATATGTATTTTATACCTATAAATATATTGGGTAAAGATGAGTAGATGAAAGATGATATAAATGATGAGAGGTGAAAGATGACGAGAAGCCTTGTGTCACACCCCTAAACCTGAACGGCGGAAACGTTCGGGGGCGGATGACATCATGTACAGTATCATAACAATGAGTAATAGTAAAACCAGAAACAACATCCATAGTATTGAAAATATAGTTATTACATTTGTGTTCTTAGTATTGATTGTATGACACCAAAATGTATAGCATAAATAAAATACGAGTCTTGAATATGCTCTGTCTTCTCAAAAATCCGTGTGAGTGTACCTATCTACTGGTTCCCTGAGAATACAAGTTATTTTGAAAAGAAAGTATCAACATTTAAGTTGGTGAGTTCATAAGCATTTAGTATTAGAAATTTGTCTTTGTTTCATGAATATGTTGGTGTATTTCTCCAGAAAATCCAATATTTTCTATAATAACTGAAATGTAGTCTTAGGCCTTAACACCAAAATGTTTGTATGTTATTGTACTCTGAAATAGTGTAATTGTATGTTTTCCATCAATGTATGCTTTCTTTACTAGAAAAATAGTGTATTGTACTTGTATGAACGCTGTTGTATGCGTGTACTGGAAAATAATGATGTGTCGTCTTATTACTTAAAATAAAACCACTGAAGTAGTGTTTGTTTGGTAAACCAAAATGTTTAGTTAATGTTTAATGTGAGTGAGATTATAACCATACTGAACTGACTAGTGGCCTACACGACGTTCTTCAGGCGTCGGAATGTGATGTATGCATTGGAAATCTCAATTCCACTTCGAAATGTGTGCCAAAGGATAGAATTTATGAGTTTTCAGTGGAGAACTCTATCCGAGAAAAGAAGTTTTCGGCCGAGAACAGGTTTTCAGTTCACAGGTCTATGGCCGAGAACTCGTTTGCGGTCCGAAGAAGCAGTCTCGCATGTTTGCGGCCGTGAACTCATTTTCGGTGCGAGGGTTTTCGGCCCTCGCATTTGGATCATCATTTTGCAACACTTATCAATTAAAAGGTTTTGTTATATTAAAACATTGGATAAGCTTATAATAAATAAATAACTCAACAAGTTTGACTTTTTTTTAACAAGTTTTCACTTTTGTTGACTTTTTTTGTGTAACAACGTAAATTTTCAAAACAATTTTTCATTTCCAAACATAATAAATTTCATAAAAACAATTTCAGAACTCATTGTATCAAATGTTATCTCAGAAAACATGTCCCAGAATATCAAACACATAAATCTCTATAAGTGTGTACGGATCATGCCGGCGCCTTCCCACGATCCTCGCTAGTACCTAAAACACATATCACACAACACGGTAAGCATAAATGCTTAGTGAGTTCCCCAAAATACCACATACAACACATAAGCCACTCGAGGCTATAACTCGGTATGACCCTCCGGTCAATGTGTCTCAGCGGGACCCTCCAGTCCCGTAGCTCGTTGGACCCTCCAGTCCGGTCTAGCTCGTTGGACCCTCCGGTCCGGTCTAAATCGTTGGACCCTCTGGTCCGGTCTAAATCATAGGACCCTCCGGTCCGGTCTATATAACACATAGCATACATATATCACAAAGCACATAAACTCAACATACACATAACACATAAGACCCTCCGGTCTGCGCATAGCTACCACTCTAGGTAATGTATAGTGAGAAGACTCACCTCGGGTAATCTCGGAAAGTCTCGAACTCGAATATCTGATCTAGCCTCCGCCTAATCAGATAAAGTAATTATCTCTAATTAATACTACTCTCAAAGGTTAGACTAATCGCTCCCTATATTCTCTCAGAAGGGGAAAAGACCATTTTACCCCTCCAATGGTCCGATGTCCAAATGTTGACCAAACCCTAAAAGTCAACCC